CTGTCATACTGATCTAACCTCTCTAGCTCTATCAGTGGTGGAAGAGGGAAGGAAGATACTGAAAGTTCTGCTGGCTGCTTTATATAATCACCTGTTTACATCTGTAATTCTGATTCTTCTGGCTGGTTGTAAATTATTTTTGAGGATAAATTATTAGTTAATATTGATAAAAGACGACTCAGCCTAAAAATATAACACGTTTTATCATAAATCTGAACATCTGAACGTCTTCGCCATTAATTTGAGATTTTACTGCAAGTTTTTGTTGCAATCCTGCTTTTATGTCCAAAAGCACCTTTTGGTGCCCCCCTCTGGTTTAAACTGGTTACTGCAGCTGTAGTGTCTCATTGTAGAGTCTGGGTGCAGCAGGATGAATGACCTGCAGTAGCGCTCCTGTTTAAAAACAGTCTCTGACTAAAGGAGCTGCTCAGCTGCTCTCCAGGCTGCTGCAGAGGGTGGGAGGTGGCGTCCATGATGGATGGAAGCTTGGACAGCTCCTTCCTCTCAGCCTAATATATACAATACTATGCATAAAAGATGTCTTTATAAAAGAACTGAGTTAATTTGGTTATTTTGATATTTGTTTGCATTTTTTAACCTGATCCATTTGAACTGGAAAGACATAGATATCCAGGGTTTAACAGGAATGAGCAACTCTAATTTAATGCTTTTTATTCCCTTAGAAATCAATTTAATGCCATCAACAAGTTCCCATGACTCTCATATATATATATAAAAACATGGCAACTTTAGTTGAAATTTGCATTTTCCTATTCTCCAGCTTTTTCTCCGCCTCGAGCTTCTTTTCTGAACATACGGCTTTACGATCAACCAGAGGCAGTTCCGCGAAAACACGCAGAACCAGTTATATCCGATATATCTGATCAAATTGTTTTTATAAACTTATTTTATTTTTTAATAAAGCATTTTAAATGCCACAATAATCACATTTAATGAATTTTAATGCTAATTAAAGCCTTAATGTAAAGAAAAATAATTTAATGATTTTAATGACCCGCAGAAACCCTGATATCAGATATTAAACATAAATTGTGAAATGAGAGACGGCCTGGTTCAGAGCAGTGCGCTGTAAAGGTTGCAGTACCCGGTTCCATCCCCACTGCCTCCACTCTGGGTCCCTGAGCAAGACCCTTAACCCCACCCTGCTCCCCGGGCGCCGCACAGTGGCAGCCCACTGCTCCCCAAGGGGAGGGGTTAAACGCAAAGAGGGAACTTCTCTGATGTGAGATTCAATAAAGTTCTATTTCTATTTTAAATATTTGTGGTATACTTTACTTCCTTCGCTTTTACTTTGAAAGGCTTTGAATGGACTTCCTGTGACAGCGCAGGTCTGTAGTTAGACTATCTTGTGCTGAATTGTCTCTGTAAAGTTCCCTGAGATGATGCGTGTTGCTAATTGGTGCTACTGAAATAAACTGAATGAATTTAAAAATACGTCATTACCACTGAAAGTGAATGAATCTCTACTGCTGCTGAATGAACACAGTGTGAAGGAACTGACCCCTGACTGCGGTCCCCAGGCTGCCTCTGTAAACCAGGACTCCATCTCCAGTTTGGGCTGACGTAGAGAGACGCCGGCTGCTGCCACCGCTGGACTGAACCTGCTCACACAGACCAATGAGAGACTGATCAAAAACCAAAACCAGTTGAATCAGGATTTTAATCAGCCTGAAAGGAACCAGTCAACATCTTTACCTCTGTCCTCAACCTAAAGCTAAAGTTCTGACCTGATTCATCTCCCATCAACCAGAACAGTGGACTCCTACTGACCATCAGTGACAGAGAGACGGGCTAATCTATGCTAGAGAGGAGGAAACTAAACAGACTAACAGCGACGCATGGAGCCCATAGGTCAGAGGTCACCAATTAATAATCAGCGGGTTTGAATGAAAAAAAATCAACCAGTAAAGGAGACATTTTTAATTATAATCTGTTACTTTAAACAGAATTTAACACTGAAATAAAATGAGGTTTTTTATGCATCCATGTTATACATCGAATTTTTATGTAAAAAGAAAAAAAAAAACAATAG